CCAAGAAAGTTCAAGAAGAAGCACCAGTGCATTTCCAGCTAGTACCGGTGTCGACCAATGCTGGCCCAACTATGACAACCTTGCTCACAACACTAAATTAAACCAACACTTTAATCCTCCAGCAAAATGATAGGATCAGAGCATTACAAAAGGGACGTCATTCAAGATCCCCTATACGGAGACACCAGTGACATGAGTCTCGCAGTCCATCACCATAACAACCAAGTCACTGCTCAGCGCAGGAGAAGCTAAAGGTTTGGTTCATCAAGAAACGCAACCACACTCTGCCTTGCAAAGACCGAATCTCCCCGGTAACAAAGAAGACTAATGGAAATTGACGATTAGAAAATTGTCGTTTGTCTTCCCCCAAGCCAAAGTACCGACCAATAAGCGTGACTCCCCGTCGAGATAACAACCCTTTCCAGGGAAAGAACGATTATTCTCCACCACAATCACAAGGGTTGAGCAGCGATGACGACCCCCACGGTCCATTATCACGGGAGATCAAGGAAAATCCTCTATCGGTCGGGCTGGAAAAGCCTTCAAACTTATGGATATAGGACGAAACTACAAACCCTGACGAGAACATCAACAATATTGATGCCTTACTCGACTATCGAGGTGTCAGGGTGCCATCAAATGCTTACTTTTCCCTACCACTTTAAGGAAGAGGGCTATGGCCTAGTATAAGAATATCCTCAACGAGTACATTACCTCCTGGAAGAATCTCGGGAAGCGGTTCTCCAGGAACTTTACAGCCTCTTGCAGCCACCCAAAATCGGAGGCATCACTATAGGCAATCATACAAGGGAAAGACGAATCCCTTCGGGTGTACATAGAGAGATTCAATCGTGAAACTGTCCAGGTATCCACGATTGAAGATATGAAAAAAATATATGCTCAAGCGCAGACTGCGTCCCTGCAACGATTTTGCAAAGGCATTCGGGATCGAAACACCGATGACACTAGACATCCTCCTCCTCAAAGCCCAGGTGTACATCCAATACGAGAAGAATGAAGCTTCCAATAATTCTCGAGACTCGTGGAATTAAGAGAATTCCAAAGTTTTGAAACATGACGACTCCTTGACATCTCTTCAGGGAGCCAGTAAAAAAAAAGAAGACAAATGCAGAATATTCGGGGCATATTATGCTATCCTATGTGGCGCTCAGTTTAAGGATTAAGAGATTCAAGATTAATTCAAGGAGTATTCTTAGTTTATAATTATGGAGATAATTTAGGAAACTAATGATTGGTGTCATATTTTTATGCAAAAGTTTATGCAGATTTTTAGCAGCTGATTTGCTGCGTTTTTGAAGCCCAGTCCAATCCAGAAGATTGTTTTAAATAGATTGTTACTAACCTAGTTTTAGGGTGGAATGTATTGTAAGAACAAGATTTGGTTCTACAATATTATCTATGTGTTTTGATGATAACAAATGAGTATGTTTGTGTGAACAATTTTGTTGTACTAATATTTGTTATTGTTAAGTACTTAACAAACATGGTCTACTTTTGATGGATGGCGTGACCAAGACATTAGAAGAGAATTAGTTCCACTTTTGCGCTACACAAGTCCTGTTGAACAGTAGCAAGACACTTTAGAAGGCTCTGAAGTGTAAGCTCTGGTATCTGTCTAAAGAAACCAGTCATAAGATCTGAAGATAGAAGTTACTAATTAAGTCCAGATGTTGAAGACTCGTGTTTCTGAAGATAATGGATTCTAAAGAAACAGTCAGCATATCTGAAGACAAAAGTTTCTACTCAAGTCCAGATGCTAAAGACTCAAGTTTATAAAGACTCAAGGTTCAAAAGATAAGGGTTCTAAATAACAAGTGTTGAATACTCTGAAGACGCAATTCTAAAGATTCTAAAGACTTGAAGTTTTAAAGACCCAAGGCTCCAAGAAAAGGTTCTCACAACCAAGTGCTGAAGACTCTAAAGACGCAGTTCTGAAGACTCTGAAGACTTGAAGTTCTGATGTCCTTGTGTTATGTTCTCGCTTCTAAACTCATGCTCGCAGAAGCCTCTGAAGTGCAGAAGGAAAGAAGATAACATTAACATGGTATAAATAGTACATGGTACAATCAACGTTTCATTCCACTACCATGAAAGGACAGATGCGTCGCACGATCTTGTCCCCCACGTTACTGTTCAAGATGCCAATGTTTATGGAAATCCCAAGAGTGCCTCTTAATGAATATATTATTAGCTATATAAAGGCTTGAAGACTAAGAGAGAAAGCTTCCAATAAACAAAATATTCACGCGCAAACGTTGTTCATAGATTTAACATTCTTAAGTCACTATTCTTAAAATAGTTTACATATTCAACTTTTGTATAAGCAATATTCTTGTAAACAAAACTTGTATTCAAACGGTTGTTTGATTTTCCTAAAGAGACCAGGTAGATATATATTCTTAAGAAGTCTAGGACTTGCGGGTAGCTTGTAGATTGTAATAATCATGTTAATTATTGTTTGATTATTGCGGGTAGCTTGTGCAAATTATAATTAGTTTGGTTATAATGAATTAAGTCCTCGATTGAGTGAGGCAAAATCACCTTGGTGGATGGACTAGACTAACTTGATAATTTTCAAGTGAACTAGGATAAACATACATTGTTCTTTGCTTCTTGTTCTTACTTATTGTTATTATCAAGAGTGAAGATTAAAAGGATTTCAACTTAAAGGGGAATATTTTTAAAGAAAAGTTTTTGTTTTTAAAACCCAATTCAAACCCCCTTTCTTGTGTTTTTCACACCTTCAATTAGTATCAGAGCCTGGTTCTGAGGAGATAAAAAGTTTGAATTTTTATCAACACTTAACAATGTCCAGTACCGATCCAGTGTGTGTGAAAAACCAATGGCTACATCTAATTCTACTATTGATAATAGGGATAATGATAGAGATCAGTATAGTTCAAAACCTCATATGTTTGATGGGGAGAAATTTGACTATTGGGAGGATAGAATAGAAAGTTATTTTTTGGCATATGACTTGGATCTATGAGATTTGGTAGTTTGTGGCTACACTCACCTAGTAGATGATAAAGGTCATAAGATTGCAAGAAGTGCAATGATAGAAGCACAAAAGAAAGTATGTAGAAATCACTACAAAGCAAGAACCATTCTTCTAAGTGTTATTTCATATAATGAATATGAGAAAATAACAAATAGAGAGACTGTAAAGTCTATCTTTGATTCACTTCAGATGATACATGAAGGCAATTCACAAGTAAAAGATACAAAGGCTCTGGCCTTAATTCAAAAATATGAAGCCTTCAAGATGGAAGACAAAGAATCTGTGGAAATGATGTTTTCAAGATTTCAAACTCTTGTGGCAGGACTTAAGGTTCTGAATAAAGGTTACTCCATCGTAGAATGGAGACCAATGGTAATTGATTTGAAATTGGCAAAGGATATGAACAACACCTCTCTTGAGGAGCTGATTAGCTCTTTAAGAAGTCATGAAATAGAGTTGGAACAAGATGAACCTCATAAGAGGATAAAATCAGTTGCTCTAAAGTTTACTTATAGGAAAACCAAGGCTTATCAAGCTAAGAAAGAATCTGAAGAAGATTCAAATGATGATGAACTCTCTCTGATATCCAGAAGAATAATTCAAATCTGGAAGCACAGACAAAGCAAGTTCAGAGGTTAACGAAGGACATATGGAAGAGGTGAATCCACTTACATTCAAAGGAATACTTCTAGAAAAGAAGTTACTTGTTTTGAATGCAACGAGCCTGAACATTACAAAAATGATTGTACAAAGCTTAAGAAAGACAAGAAGCCTAAGAAGGCTTACAAAGCTAAAAAGGGTCTCATGGCAACATGGGATGATTTAGAATCAGAAGATGAAGATTGTTGTACCCCAAAATTTGCCCTCCTTTTTCTTCAAGACATTCTCCCAGGGTTTTCAACTACTCAAGGCTACCAAGGCTTCTCAGGCCTCAAGACTTGTCAACTGAGTTTTTTTTGTTTCATCAAGGGTTCAGGGTTGCAAGTGTTTCAAAAGAGAATCACATTTCTCCTATCCATTGGTTTTATACTAGGGTTTTGACTTTTAAGTGTGTGACACCTGTTGTGATCAAGATTCATGAGGCTTTATCTTCTTTTCATCATACAAGTCATCCAATGAAATAATCATAAAATAATTCCCTGCATTCCAATGAAATGTCAATAAAATCATGCACATAAGATTTAAGACTTTGTGAAAGCAATGTATTTTCACCAATACCATTGACTAAACTCGTAATTGAAATGTATATATAAAGATACAATAAAAACTTGGTATTTCCAGAGAAGTCCATGTGCTTATAGCTTGAATATGCATTATGATTACCACTTGAATCATCAAAACTATGATGTAGTGGCATGGCTATACGATCCAAACTCTCGTTAAGAGTGAAGTTATGCACAACAACCCCATTAAACATAGCAAAATGATGGAAGCTCAATAGTTTCATTAGTTTGACCTGACCAATTCTTTCAATAGCCAAAAATGGCAACAACTTCCAACCCTTTAGTTTGATTTGGTCATGAGATGATGATGATAATACTAGTAGGGGCTCAATGTAGCAGCAATAGAAAAGACTCACAAAATCAAAACAACGCGCATTATGATGCAATATCATACCATGAGAATTACAAGCAAAGTTAACATATAAATCATATGGAAACAAGGACGATCCAACACCAAACTCGAGCACAAGACCACTAGATGAGTAAGAATTACCGCAATCATGATAATTATGAAATAAAATAGAACTTGCAGTATTTTTAGAGGTGTCCATATCAACTTGTCCAAAAAATGCATAGATTTGCATCATACTCAACATACTTGTAAAAATTTCACAAAAGAAATCAAATGGGATGGACATTTTAACAAACAGATAGTGGGTGTCGCATGAGGACATACCGTTGGTGGAAACATATGATAAACATGTTAGCACAGAAATATTAGGAATTTGGCTGTCAATCGTGTGTGTATTGTAAGATTAACTTCCAAAATAATTCTTCTGCTCAAATTGGAAATAAAGAGGAAGGTTGTTTACCTTGGATGAGGATGGGGACTTAAGTGGTATTGGGTAAACTGAGTGATGAAGCCATGGTAGGGCAAGCGACAGAGGCGGAATGGATACTAAGTCAGGTGGATCTGATAGAAGAATCATAAGCAGTATAAGTGGGATAACGATATTGAAATCCTCTAAGACGGTCATTGGTGAAGACCCCAGGTGCTTGCTATAACTACATGGTCTGACAGTGAAGGGAAGAAAACCTTTGATTATGGGAACAACATGAAATTCTGAAATTGATGGTTCAATCACTCGATCATGACTCAAAATAGCAGCATCAACAACTAAAAATGCTTCTCTTAAAGCTTCTAAAACAACCATCTCGACAATCGTGTATGGTGTAGTCGAGACCTCAACATCGAGTGAATCAGAAGCATCGATCTCTTGCGATTTGTCGGTCATTCCTGTAAGCATCCCAATTAATTGATTCTCATAAGATTTCCCAATCGAGTCCAAACCACCATTAGAAGTAGAGCTCGCTTGAAGTGCAACCAATTGCTCCTTAATGCGGTCCATACACAAGGCATCAGTTGCACGTAACATCATGTATTCAACATGGCGTACATCTTCCTCTTCCATGATTTTCTTCATTGTGGCATTTAATTTTTGGATGGCTTCCTCCAACCCATTCAATCAAGTATTATCTGCCACAGTGATATATGAAAGCATTAATGTAATGAACTCAGATTGAAATTCATAGTGAATACAATAGAATTGAAATGGTACTTGAAATTAAATGTAACAATATAGTGAAATAGAGGTGTAGTTATTATCTGATAATGACACATCCAATTGAAGAAGGAATTACATAATTTCTAGAAGAAAGCTTGACAGCTCAAGGGAAGAAGAGATCCACTTTTCACTCAAATATTTTATGCTTTTTTCCATCAATTGCATTGTATCTTATAGCATGTTAAGGAATCTTTCTATTAGCAAGCATATTCTCTTAACTCCTTCATTTGTGGATCACATTCCATGTGTCCTTTAAACTCTTTAATATTGATTTATTTGAAATCATAACAAGGTGTTTGATAGTTAGAATTTAGAAGAAATGAGAATGAGGGGTGACTGTTTGTATTTGTTACTGTAATGTCTTAATTCAAAGATGTATCTCTGAAACACTCCTGATTTTAGAAAAAAAGTATTTTGACAATACATCTCCGGAAATACTCTAAAAAAAATAAAATATGACACGTTCAGAAATACATTTCTAAATTCTGGATTAAAAATAAGATTTCGACATAAATGCCTAAAAGGATATAAGGTTGAGAAAAAAAATTCCCTTTAAAATTTCATGCACAGCGTCGTATCCATCATAAGCCCATAGGCCCAATTCACAAAACAAAACAAATCGATACATGCGGCAGATATTTTAATATAAATACTGTAACCACGATCAGAAACAGATCCACTTTCACAGGGTTAGGTTTTCGGCAATCAACTACAAGGTACATCCTCTTTCTCTTCTCTCGTTTCTCTTTCATTCCAATTCGATTATCCCTTTTCCTTTTAATTTGTGAATTCAATCGGATTTTGTAATTGTAAATCAAAGTTTTTTTTTTTTTTTGTATATCTCCGATTGTTGATTTAAAATTATTTGCTTGATTTCAATTAGATCTAAACATTATTGATGCATGCAGATAATTTGCTCCGGTAGTTGTATTAATTTTGAATTTGTACGTCTTTATTGTTAATTGTTGTGTTATTTACCATCAAGATTTTATTTTTTCTGTGTTCGAGTCGAGTTTGCTGTTAATTATGCAAATTTCAGTTTTTTGATTTCAGAGCTTGAAGATATCGACAATGCCTCGCTACGATGATAAGTATGGCAATACTCGCCTCTATGTGGGTCGTCTGTCATCGCGAACTCGTTCTCGTGATCTGGAGAGAGTCTTCAGCCGATATGGAAGGTAAATTTCGTATATTTACACGGCAGTCTGTTTAATTTCATTTAGAATTGTTGAAATTGATAATCCCTATATCCAATTTAGTGTTTTTTTCATGGTATTATGGGGAAATCATTGTTTTTATGTAACATGTTTGTTGTAACTTGCACTGTGTTTGTCCGTGTATCTGTTTGTATGGGTATCTGGTTCTTAAATAATTAGATTAGATGAGATCCTACTAAAAAAACTCTTTTTGTATTGGCTTGGGGTTTGCTCTTTTTGTGCCAATTTTCCTTTGTTTATTTGCAAAGGAGCTAGATTAGTGATAAGTTGGCTTGGGGTGTCATCCTTGTCGTATAACGAAAGTTAGGGGAATATATACGGGTTCTTTCCAAGCTTTGTTTTGCGCTTGGATTTATGTTGGTTATGCCTCATGTTATGCGTGGGAACCGTATCCCATAGGTGTCATTTTTAACTTAAATGATCTTGTTGAAGGTTTGTTGGGTTTTGGCTAAACCCGGAGGTCTAAGGTGGGAGGGTGGCCTTGGTGGTAATTCCTACCTGAGTGTTGACTTTGGCGATTCTTTCTGTAATGTTATTGCGTGTTTTTATGGAATTGGCAACAATCTCAAACTGGTGTTTAGTTCGTCTTTGAGGGGCGAAGTATCATACAGTTCCAGTAGTTAAGTAATGATGGCCTTACTGTTTATGGAAACCATTTCCGCAGAGTTCGAGATGTGGATATGAAGCATGATTACGCCTTTGTTGTAAGTTTTCACTCTCCCTGTATCTTTTTACTTTTTCTTTTCACTTTGATTTCTGCTCACTGCTCTGCTCAAAGGTGGCTTCTAGTAACTACTTGAAGGAATTCAATTATAGATTGTGGTAAGATTTTGTGTTATTTTCTTTGCTTTTCCTTACATGTTTTTGAGCAGGAGTTTAGCGATCCTCGAGATGCGGATGATGCAAGGTACAACTTGGATGGGCGTGATGTTGATGGAAGTCGTCTTATTGTGGAATTTGCTAAAGGGGTGGGAATTACTTCCCTTCACTGCTTTTTAGAAAGCTTTTTATTTTATTATTTTAAATTTATCTCTTTTATTATTATTATCTTTTGACGGGCTGTTTCCTTTGGTATGGATGTTCCTGTGTAATCTGATGCTTTAGATGTTTTATTTGAAAGTGCTTGTTTCATGTATGTATTTGCTGTTGTTTCAGTTCCATTTGGCTACATATTGGCTATTTGAAAGGGATGCTTTGGTGTGTGTGTATTTGATACTGCCATAGTATATTAAGCATACTTTTACTTTAGTGCCCTAGAGTTCACTGTTCTCGCATTTTGGCATGTTTTAACTTCTATTATATTTTGATTTGGTGGTTATCTTCTAAACTCCTAATTGGAAGCATCCTTTGAAGTTCTAGTCATTCACGTTTATAGTTTTGTAACTTTCAACCACAAGCTTTATCATCGGTTTTATATTGATAATCCTTACTCTCAATGTTCCAGTATAGCAGAAAGTAAATGAACACCGTTGGTCTGTTGTGTTTATTTTTCTGTTAAGTGCATATATGCATTACATTTATTGTTTGGTCAAATGCTTCTTGAAAATCCATTGCACTTGTTCTTGCATTTCTGATATTACTGCTATTTGTCTCTGGGCTTCTAATTATTCAGGTTCCTCGGGGTTCTCGCGATTCTCGTGATTCTCGAGAATATCTTGGTAGAGGTCCACCTCCTGGATCTGGACGCTGCTTTAACTGTGGCATTGATGGCCACTGGGCTCGAGATTGCAAAGCTGGGGATTGGAAGAACAAGTGTTATCGCTGTGGGGAGAGAGGTCATATTGAGAAGAACTGCAAGAACAGTCCCAAAAAGTTGAGGTATGATACGGTGTTGAGTTTCCAAACTGTTGCTCATTGTTATAATTGATTCTTATTGTAACATTGCTTTCCAAAGGTGTTTTGAGCTTTCAACTGATAATTTCAATCTGACTTGTTCTAGCAGCAGACATGCACGCAGTGTTTCTCGCTCTCCAGGAAGGTCACGTTCTCCTAGGCGTGGCAGAAGCCGTGATAGAAGCTACAGCCCAGCCCACAGCTATAGGTCAGTACTTGATAAGCTATTAAATGGTTTAAATTGTTTGCTGTTATATCAGTAGTCATTTTTGTTCTTCACTTTAAAGCTGAATTCTGGCTGCTCTTCTTGCCAGCCGATCAAGATCTCCTGTTAGATCTCGATCTCCTGCCAGAAGAGATCGAAGCCCAGTTCCTGATGAAAGATCCCGGAGCCCCCCACCTTCCAAGTCAAGGAAGTATACTAGATCTCCTGAAGGTAGTCCTCAAAGGAGTGCATCACCTGCTAATGATAAGGTGGTCACAGCCCAAGATGGGTCTGATTACAGTGATGGTCCTAGAGTGAAGAGCAGAAGCCCCTCGAGGGACAATGATGACAGCCCTAAGGCTAATGGCAGAAGCCGTAGCAGAAGCCGCAGCAGAACCCCTAGCCGCAGCCGCAGTCGCAGTCCCAGGGATGAGGATAGGAGCCCCATAGAGGATGATGATGACACCACTCGTCGCACTCCTTCACCTTGAGAAGTATTTGCCTTATAAAATGAGCTCAGGACGTGTCCCATATATTTATATGCTTTGTTTATGAAATGCACTATATTCCAACTTTATTTTTTAGAACTGAATTGACTCCAGTGATTTTGAACATGTATGCTATTTTTAATGTTTAAACATCTGTTGGTTGAGACATTTGCTACTTCTATAATATATTTAAGTGGCCATTTGTGTCTAGCGTGTGCATAATCCTAGAGCTCTCTAGGCCCTATAATATTTAAGTGGCCATTTGTGTCTAGCGTGGGCATAATCCCAGAGCTTAGGCCCTATAATATTTAAATGGCCATTTGTGTCTAGCGTGGGGCATATATGAGAAATTGATCTATTTGGTCTTGCCGAAGTTTAAAATTCATGTATGTTTCAAGTTTTGATAATCTGTTCCCATGTTGAAATATCATTTACAATTGTTATCCTCATGATGAAAGGGTGGGATCTTGTGTTATAGGAATAAATGCCTTTTAAAAACTTAGTTTAAATATTAGACTTTGTTGAATCACTAGACAAGAGGTGATAAGCTGAGTTTCTGGAATAATTGCCTGTTTTGCACCCTATAGTGTATTGAAACCTGGAGAATCTGGTCAACATCTTTGCTGGTAAACAGTTAAACACATTATATTTGTTTGTGAGATTTTATCCTCGTTTTACCAACATAAGTTTTTTTTGCTAACGTAAGCTTGTCCCACGCCAACCATTACATTCTTCTTCCACCATGGCTTAGGAAATGGATCTCCCACTCTTTTACGTATTCATCCAGCAGTACATGTTTGTTTATTGATGTCTAATTTTGGTTTCCAGCGGAAGAGACCCAAGGTTCACAACCCCACGGAAATTATTAAAAAAAATCAGAAAATATCGTTGCTAAGAGAAAGAAGAAAGACAAATAAATGGAGGTTCTCAAGGTGACACTCTGAATGTGAAAGGAGGTCAAAATTATCGGTGAAATAAGAGTAATGGAGGTTCTAAAAGAAAGAGGTCTAAATCTAGACATCGTAAAACAACAGAGTGTTATAGTTTCAAACAAATTGAATATTAGAAGACGGATTGTCCAAACAAAGAGCTGGGCTCATCTAG